ATGCCTCCTGCAGTCCTCTCACAGCGGGCATGACATAAATTCTTGAGGACTGGCGGACTTCCTGTCCTTCTCATCCCCACCCTCTGGCATGTCGAGAAGTCAGAGCCTGCTTTGCCCACAGTCACGGGTTCATCTTTCGCCAAAAAAAGGATTGCAGCACACTGGGGTGCTCCTAAGGAACCACCAGCATCCCATGTAGTACAGTCTGGGATTGGGAATTAATAGGCCAGTCAGGGAGCAGGGTAACCCTGAGAATAAATATATGTGGGTTGTGGCTCACGGGTTCCCTACTCTCCCAACGCAGAACCTCAAATCCAAGACTGATAAGAGGGCCCATTTTTGAGGAGGGCAAAGTGAGGCCCAGGAAGCTGCTTCTAAAGGGCACCCACCAGTCTCTAGGGTCCGGACTCAGGAAAGGCCAAAGGCATCCCACCGACAGGAATTTGAGAGGGGATTCCAGTTTCACTCAAGCTTCTGACCCTGCCAGATCTGAGCAACACCCCAATAAACAGGATCCCATGGGGTTTTCATCATCAGCCCAAAACTTTGTTACCTAGTTTGATAGAAGAGGCATGTCAGGCCCAGACCAGGCATCCAGTTCAGTGAGGTGAGAGTAAGGTCCTGGCAGCCCAGGGTCCTTCCAAAATGGTCCAGCAACTGGCCTTGGCATCAGGGAAGTGGACAGCAGAGTTCCTTCAGCAAAGGGGACTTCCGGTCCCCCAGCAGACTCCCTGGGTTCAAATCCTGACTCTAGGACTTCTGGGCTAATTCATCAGCACCCCACTAGCCCAGGGACTCCAGCCCAAGGCAAGCCCGGCCTGATGGGACTGTCCCTTTAAGGCTCTGGTAGGCGGGACCAGCCGTTTGCAAGGAACTGACTCAGAGAGGTTTCTCCCTCTTCCAAATTCCAGGCCCAAGCAGGAAGTGAGTCACCACAGGAGAATGCAGGGCTCCCAGCCTTGAGGGGGAGGGGTGCCGGAGGCCCCCCTGAGGACCCCCAGAGGGCAGCAGGCCTGTGGGATTCAGGGCTCTGTGGGTGGGGGAACGAGATTTCAGCATCCGCTTGTGTCACTGACTAAAGGAAGGTCTCAACCTGGATCCAGGTTCATCCTGGGTCACAGGTCCCATGAGCAGGGCGGGGAGGGGGTGGGGGCAGGCAGGTAGTTGAGCTCACGCTAAGATACAATCGGATCATGATTTGTAGGTTCACAACACTGCGGGGTAGTTGTCTTTGTCATCCCTGCTTCACAGATGAGGAAACTGAGGCTCAGGTTAAGGCCTGCTGCCCACCCAGGGTCCAACTGTTATAGGGCAGCCCCGATACAAAACGGGGTGCCTGACTGTAGGTCCTAACCTGTGCGCTTAAAAGGACTTATCAATGCTCTACTGCAGGCACACGCGAAAGGTTAATAAAAGGTGTATTTACAAGGGAAGGGGAAATGAGGAAATGGACAGCTCAGGGAGAAAAATGGGAGACAAAGTTTTAAACGAGTCCTACCCGATCCGTCGATCAGGAACCCCAAAATGGCACTCTGAGAGCTGGCCGCCAGCCAGGAGCGGTGTAACCAGGAGGTGAGCGACAGCGAGCCCCCCAAGGCCCACGTGTTTGGTTTTTACATCCAACCTGGCTGCCCAACTCCACCCTCAGGCCCCAGCCACCCTCCCTTGGTGGTGACGGGATTTGTCTTTCCCAATGTCCTGATGGCTTTCGTCTGGAGTGGGGGTGGGGTCCACAAAGCCCAACACTACCACCCACTCCCCTGCTCCCCAGCTCAAAGAGGAAGGCTGGTAAGTAGCGTCCAGAGAGGGCCGCAGCCAGACCCCAGACCTCTGGGCCGCACCCCGGCTGGGCAGCCGCTCGCCTTTCAGTGCCTCAGTCTTCTCACCGTGAAACGGGTCCCCTCGTTCCTTCAGCAAGCGTGGCCGGTGTCCACTCAGCGACAGGCGCAGAGGGGTGAACACGCAGGTAGACCCGGACCTCCAGGAGAGGCAGAGCAGAGACCAAAACCGGTAAAATCATCACTGACACAATGAGAAACTGAGGCAGAGTCGAATCAGGCAGGGAGGCTCAGATGATTTGGGAGGAGAACCGAAAATAAAGGGATAGCCTTTTCCCAAAGCGGACACGTGGGGCAGACATAAAACCCAGACTGCAGAGTCCGTGTGAGAGGGGGCTGCGAGCTAAGGCCACCTCAGGAAGCGTCCACTGGGGCGGTCCCCGAGGCCCGCAGGGCCACACGCAGGGCCCAGCTGGGTGACAGCAGGCATGGCCCGGGTCTGGTAGGCCCAAGTCTCAGTAGCCACCGACACCCTGCCTTCCCCGGCCTCCCCGCCTCTGGCCAGCTCCCTGTGTTTAGGGGACATCAGGTGCCATCTGGCTCCGCAGCACTGTGAAGCACACAGTGGTCATTGGGATGCTAGTGCAGATCTGGGGGGGGAAGGCTTGTGAAGGGGGGCCAGGAGCCCACCTGCTGTACGTGGGTTGGTTAAGTGTGAGGTAGAGGCAGCACATCCCCAGGGCTGTCCTGGCCCTTGCACCCAGAGGCCCAAGCGCTGGGTCTCCACTCAAGTAAAGGGAGGGAAGCCCAAGGGGCGCGGCCTCAGGTGAGCACGCAGGCCCCGCAGATCTGTCCAGGATGGAAGGGAGAGCTCCAGCCTTCGCCTGGATAGTTAGGGGTGCAGGTGACCCCTTTTCTGTTATTTTCAGGAATATATGGGCACATGTATAGCGATCGTGTTGAAAGGACCCCAGTGACTCCGGAGGCCGGGAGACTCAGGGCCTGAGGGCCGCGTGGGCTGTGCCGCCCCGTTATGGCGGGAATGCAGCTGCGGGGCTGCGGGGCCGGGCTCCTGCCCACAGCGCTCGCCCACTGCTGCGCCTTGGTCCAGCCCCTCTCAGCCCGACTCCAGCTCCGCCGTCCACGAGGACGGGCAGGGGACTGCTGGGGAGACTTCACCTTGACCTCCTCTGCCCGCCCCACGCGCGTGTGTCATCAAGGAAGTGTTAAAATGCAAGAGGGGCGCCGGGGAGGAGGGCTTAGGAGCCATCATTTTGTTTTATGCAATTTACATGTTTTTAAACACCCTGTCCCCACGTGACCTGTGAGCTCAGCCTGTGGAGGTGGGGAGTCCAGGAATCTGTATGGTAAACCTCTCCCAAGGTGACACAGCAGCCAGGCGCGGGGCTCTTGGGTCACTGCTGGTGGAGCTGACTCACTGCACCCGAGGGCCTGCGGGTGCCAGCTTCCTCCAGCCGAGCCCAGCAAAACACCCTGCCCCCAGGAACGTCCAGTCCAGACTTCCTCAAAGCCCGAGGGACTGAAGGCCAAAGGGCGGGAAGCGCAGGGGAGGGAGGAGTCCTCCAGAGGCAGCTGCCCTTGGCCTCAGGGCTGGCCTGAGGTGCCCAGTCCAGTGCCAGTGGCCCCTGCTTAGTAAGCAGAGGATCTGGAAGGAGGCCCAGGCAACACGCCCTCGGGCACAGCTCTCCCTGGAGCTGAGTTCCTCCCCACCGCTGGGCCCGTCCAGTCTGCCTGGGGTACAGCCGGAGGAAGAGAGAAGGGGAAGCTGGGGCTGGAGCTAGTGTGAAACCCAGGAGCGAGCCCTCACTCAGAGGGCCGACTCCCTGCCCCGATGGCCCATGACCGCCTTGACTGCCCAGCAGCCGGGGCGACCGCACCGTCACCTCCACACGCACCCACCAACCCGCAGTCCCCCCCAACATACCCAGGTTCTTGACGATCGGTGAGTGCCCTGCCCCAGAGGAAGAAAATGGGGGTTCTTGGTGAAAACCTAGAAAATGTCACGCCGTCTTTCATCTACGACTCCTTCAAGGAGTGCCCAAGTACCTACCCGTGCGGGCGCTGACGGATCCGGGCTCCAGCTGGTGGGGAAGCAAAGCAGCAGGCCGTTGGGTGTTGAGCGCAGTAGCAGGAACCCCAGGAGCGGAATGCGCCGCGCCCCAAGGCAAGAAGAGCTCTCTACTCAGGGGTGTCTCCACTCTCGGGCTGGATGGAGAGCTGCTTCTTACTGTGGCTCACAGTCCACACGCTGGAGAAACACTGAGGCAAGCCGTGACCGCACAACTGAACCAGACGAGACAGTGAGCCGGTGAGCACGCAGTGGCCCAAGAAGCGCCACATGGGGACTTCCTGGTCGTGACAAACCTCGGGAGACACCTGAAGTCACGCTGCCATAGTGGTCGAGATGCACCTTGGAGGAAGAGGTGGCGGGAAGCGATCACCTCATCCAGGGAACTAGAGGACGGTTAGGCAGGTGCTTCCCTCGCCCAGGGAATCCTGACCCAGGCACCATCACCCCTCGGGAGCAGGTGTCCATAGTTTGAGAGTCTTTCCTCAAAGGCTAAGTGGCACAGACTTCGGTGGATTTGGAGGCTCCTGGATTGCCGGAGGCAACCAGTAGTGGCAGGTAGCCCCAGAGACACCCCCAAATCCTATCAGGCTGCAAACCTCTGTTGTCAGCCTGCCGAGACCTCCTCGTTGCAGAGGCTGAAGGAACCTTGCCAAGGCAGCCCCGCAATGGCGGGTCCCAAAAGACTCCCAGCAGTGCAGAGGCCGCACCCTCCAGACCCGAACCGAGTGCGGTGTGCTGAGCGGCTGCAAGCAGGCGGCCCCACACTCTCTCGGCTTGGGTTCCCAAGGTGTGGCTCCCCCACCTGAGGATTGGGTATTACCGAGTGAGGTCACCGGTACATGCTGGCCGGTGCCCCTCCCTGGCAGGCGTTCAACCCGGTCCACAGGCAGAGTCACGCCCGTGGGGACGAGCCCGGGCCCTGGGAGCCAAGCACCTTGGGCACAGGTGGCCCCATGTGGCTGGTGCCTACCCCTGGGGTTTCCAGCTGCCCCAGATGATGGTGAGAGGCTCCCACGCTGACGGCCATGACCAAGTGCCTCACCCGGCACCAACTCCCCAGCAGCCGCCCGACAGCCAGCACATTTTAATGGCTACATACATAACAAAAGTATATAGAAAACTTCAAAATCTTTCGTTCTGACCTTTGCGGAGGGTGGAGGACAAGTTAAAAGGGCCTTTATGTGGTCTGACATTTTAATCATCGTTGCAAAAATTAGAAGTATTGTTTTCAATGGCATGTTAAAAAATCAACCACATTCGAGTTCTCAAGGGCTGCACGGGTTGGGGGTGGTGCGGGGGGGATTATGATGCAGATGGTAAATGTCGCCAAGGAATTCAAGCCACTAAGTTTTGCATGGGCTTCTTTCTATTGTACCTGTGTCACCGATGATGAGACAGCCCAGAGAGGTGAACTGATCCAGACGCCCACACCCAGCAAATGGAGCAAGTGTTCAAATCCAGCAAAGATTCTTCCTTCGTAGGAGGGGGCAAAAATTAAAGGCAAACCTTCAGACCACTTTTGCCTGCAAGTAGCCCGGACACTGGCAATGGCGAAGACGCGGGAGCCAAGGCACTGGTGCCGGTGAAGCCCCAACACCACCTGGCAGGGTACCTTGCTAAGACCAGTCAGTATCCCAAAGTCCTGTGAACCGCCAATGGTACCAGCTGAAATTTATCCTCTAGAAACTTAGATAGTCCGAGCTACCGCTAATTAAAAAGGGGGGGGGTCCCTATAAAGGGCCACACACACAGTGGGAGGCCCATTAGGTCATAAAATAGCTCCCTATTCTGTAGGACGAGCTACCTACATTAGAAACTGCTATGCAGCTGGACTGTTACTGGCTTAAAACGTTTTCTTTAAAGCTGTTTAACTCAATACAAATAAAATGAGGGGCCATCAGGAACTTGGGGGAATCATCACGAGCCCCATTTATGCCGAGGGCTACAAAATTTGTATTGACTCTTAAAACCACCAGCACGAAACCTCACAGAGAACACGCAGGAGAACATCTGGAGCTCACACATCAAGTACAGACCCCGGGAAAGGAGGCCTGGACACACAGGTCTGCCCCGCTCCCCAAACGCTGTCCCCACTGGGCCACCACACCCTGCGCAGACACTCCAGTGTGGAACCTGGAAGCCAGCTGCTGGATAAGGTAATCAAGTTGATCAAAGCTGTAACAGCTTTCCAGGAGGCGGGAGCAGGTGCTAGAAACATCTGATCAAAATAAACTTCTGTAATTCAACAGTTGAATTTTGTTTGACTGTAAACAGGTTTCCTCTGGCAGAAGCCTCCATTCCAGTCACTTCATTCCAAGAGTCCAAAAGCTATCCCTGAAGAGTCCCAACCTCAAACTAAGTATCTATGTAACTGATCTAATGGATGAAGTGGCAGGTTGTGACACGCTGAGATAAAATGCAATGAGATAGATCTGTAGTCATTAGACCTCTTGAAAAATCCAGGTATTAATCATGTCAGAAGCTTAACGATTCACTCATTGTTTTTCTAAAATTAACAGGACTGCCAATGTCCCCAACAAGGCCCCGTTTCCAAAGCACCTCTTGGTCTCTTGGGCCTTCCCAGCGCGAAGGCTGGCCGAAGCCTCAAGGTCAGACCTCAACCGGCCTTCCTCTCCAGCCAGAGAGGAAGCCAGTTCAGCTTTCATTGCCATGGGGAAACCTTAAGGCCCAAAGCCACGCTGACTCAAGAAGCTTGGTGAGTTCCAACAGGCACCGGCCTGTGGAAGCCTAGTTCTCAGGAGCCTGAACTTCATTTGACTGCATCAAAAAGTGGTTCAGATGTGATGACCAAAATAAAACTGCAGACGAGCCCCATCTTTTTTTGTTTTGTTTTGCTTTAATGATTTATTCATTGAATGACTTAGGGTGTGTGCTACTCCAGTTGGGTAAACCACAGTGAAGAATCTGACTGCAGGTCTTTAGATTCAGCCAAATGCTTTCCATTACCTTTGCTCCATAAACACTACACCTAGGTTTTTAATGCTTCAGCCATACTCAGAATACTGCAGTGTGAAGATGACTCAAACCACGAGTGTCAACCCAGGGTGACAGGAACAGAACTAATGAGCAGTGAGGTCTGAAAGAATCAGAGACTCTAGCTTAGGATGAAGAGAGAGGTTCTGCCTCCCCCCAAAGTAAACTAAGTTTTCAAATTCAGCCTACACTGTTCTCAAGAGACCGGAAAAAGTTATTTTAAAAGTGCCACACAAATATGCAGTTTTCCACGATTGGCACAAAAAAAGGCTTCAACTATCTAGCAGTCAGAACTATGCGTTCCTCAGAGACCCGCTTCCCTGTCTCCTAGGTCACAGGGTCACTCTGTGCTCAGGTGGCAGATGAGAGCTCAATGGAGCAAAGAAGGGGGAAGAAGTTATGATTAAGTGACAAACAGCATTTAAGACTAAATGCAATGGAAAAAAGTAACAAATGCTAAAGTTTTTAAAAAGTTTAATGGAGCCAATAAGGCATATAAATCGTGTTCTGGCAGACATTAAGACCTGCTTTCTCTTACCAAAAAAATGGCACATTTTTTATCAAAATTTGACAATCAAGAGTAAAGGGTACTGAGATTAAGCTTCAGAGCACCAACTAAAACAAAAACAACCCAAAAATTGTTATTCAACCTGGGAAGAGGAACTGGAACCAAGGCATAAAGGGGAGATTAAATATGTGTTCCTCAATCTCAAAACCCTTTAGGAAGAGTCTGGCCACTCGTGAGCAAGGCATCACCCGCCAGATCCCAACTCCAGAATCTAAATTTACAACAAGAGAAAACAAAGCTAACCCAAATGCAGTTCTGGTATATTCCAAAAGGAAGCTTGAAAGTTTTCATAATACATAGGCTTGTCCGTTTCAGGTAAAATGACAGGTTGCTATAATTCTTCCTGCTATTATATTTCAAACAATAAAGAAAAAAGGTTCCACTTTTGCAAAAATTTAGAACTACCTCAGTTTGATTCCTAGTTTTAGTATGGTATTGAGACTTCTTAAATAAGAGCTATATCTATAATGAATACAGAACTTCGGTTCACACCACAGTTTCTAACATTCTGTTCACATCCACCCAGTCGATGAATATTATGGTTAACTTAGCAAAGTTTTAACAAAGTGCTGTAATTACTGGAAAAACCCTTACACTGGTTTGCAATGGTCTTTGAAGGATAAGAACAGGAAGTTAACTGATACTGGACTACAAGTTTGCAAGGAAACATTTTCACTGTCCTACTTGATATATAGGATATGGTAGAATAAATTACAGTACCTGGCAGGCTGACATCAGTTCATCTAAAAAAAACTATCATTCAGTTCAAGATATTAAAAATTAAGAAGAAACATGCTCTCAAACACTGTAGCTACAAGAGGCCTTCTATCTCACTCAAGAGAGGACCCTATTATTGAGAACCTTTATTTAGGTCTACCTAACATTTAGAGAACCTCCATGTGATCCCAGCTTTTCCAGAGTGAGATTCCAAACTGCACTTTTTAGAAGAGGGACTGGAGAGCTGGGATTTGCTATTTAAATTGTGATCACACCATCAGCAAATAAAAGACCCTTTTATCTCCCACCCACTCCAAAGGGGTCTTTCAGGAATAATGTAAACTGTAAGAAAGACTAGAATCCCTCTCCCTCCCTCTAACACTGAGCCAAAAAGGAAGCCCATGCTCATGGTGCAGACCTCTCGGGGAGGCAGCTAGCAGTCTACGTGTTTACGTTTACCACAAGGACAGTGTCCTGCATGGGAAGTAGTACTTGCCTTAAAACTGAGTATTCGAAGCCTACAGGGTTCATCTGGGGGCAATTTAATAATATTGCTACTTTTAGAGCACTAACACACACAAAGTGACTCTGATTAAGTTTTGTGTATTGATTCAGTATTAAGTATTAATTGCATGACCATCATAGCACCTCTTTACATTACACAATCACCAGAATTAGAAACTGCTTTGAAAACTAAAAACCGGGCAGTCCAATAATCAGATGTTGCACGCTGCTACCGTATAGAACCAGGTGCATGGTACAGTGCTGCTGGAAAATGGAAGCCTGCAGATTGGATGAGGAAGCCAAATCGTGTGTTTTAGAGAATTTTAGGAACCTGGCAATACTGTTGAAGCAAAATACTCAACACAGCAGGAAATGGACCCCAAAAATAAAAAAAGGTGGGGGGAGGGGGCATTCTATAACCAAATAAACATCTGATATTTCCTTTCCCTTTGAGAATAAATACAGTTAAGGTCACTTTTAGCCTTGGAACGGATATGTTTGCCTATGATGATCCTGCTAACGCCTACACGGTTTCTGATGTCCTCTGCTAGGGTTATAGTTTGAAGAAAGCCATAGTTACAAGAGGCATCTACTGTAAATACCTAGAACTTCCTTTTATGGCAACCACTATAGAATTATTCACTTGTGTTAAACAGTGAACAAGGGAAGATGGCCTCATGTTTCCTTTGCAATAATAGTATATGTTGAGGATCAAGTGGCTTTCAAGCAGCATGGTGGGTGTGAAAATGTTTGCGGTTTAGATCATTCTGTTGCGTTTATGGGTTGGTGAGTCTGTAATGACATCGCCACACTGGGCTGAGGTACGCTTTCTAGTTCCACCATTGTCCAAGTGGAGTGCCATTTCTTCTGATATGAAAGTGTTCAAATCGACATCATGGAGTCCATTTCTCCTTCGACTAGCATTCGATCCACTGCTTACATGTGTAGGAGAGCCTGGGGTACTCGAACGCACGCTTATACTAGCCATTGCACCACTAAGACCTAGGAAGAAGAAAAAAGGTTTTAGAGTTGCTCGATTATTTAACCCTCTTGAAAGCAACCCACTTTATTTCCAATGTTGTCACAGTGTCCAAGGATGTCTGCCTATTTTCTTGGTCGGGGTCACCAGGGAACAGTTAAGTTTTATTTGAAGAAACCAATCTCTTGGCTTTGATACAAGATGTGATACTGGTCATTACCAGTTATTGGGAACTTGTTATGTGGCACACACTGTCTACCCAGGCCACAAATCCATCAAGGAATCCTCCCAGCTACTCTCCCGGGTGGGTACTGGACACCGTTTACAGCTGTGCAGGAAGGAGTGCTTGCTTTACACACAACGCTTTGGTTATCCAAAAATCACCGTTCCAGAAGATCCCTCTAGTGTATGACTATGCATGCAGGAGAGCAAGCAATCGTTTCCAGGCCTGAGAGGCCTTGTTCCACTGTGGTGACTTTAAAATTTATCCTCAAAAACTGCACACTGTGCTAAAAAACTACGCTGAGGCAATCAATGTGAAGTGGGTCTGCCCTGGACAAATCAGACTCTGCGGTCACCCAAGGTCTGACCTCTACTTGGTGGACACCCCTCAGGAGAATGATCTGCCATCCTTTGGAGAAGGAGAGGGAGCAGTGGTATGAAGCTCCTGCTACTTTGCTTCCAAAGTCGCCAATCCAGACTATCTTTAGCACTCCTCAGTGCAGACACTCACTACTTGAACAGTTAGGAGGTGGGAGACATGTCCCAAGCCTAAGTGTTCAGGATGAACCTATGGAAGGCATGAGTGGGGCCAGAACACAAACCACTGAGTTTAATTTGAAAAACTAACACCACTGACTACTGTTTTTCTTTCTCAGACTCTCTCCTCACACAGGGTCTGAGTCATCACTAGACTAAGTTTACATAACATGATCTAGTGTGATCAATGTCTCCAAAGAACAGGGCTTAGTTCTTATAACAAGCTTAGAGGTTGGTTTGGTAGGAAGGAGTCCCTTCTAATTTTATATTCTGTAAATGAGATTTAAATTTGAACATTAAGTTGAAAAAGAAGTCTGCTTCCTACCACATCAAATCCAGTAATTCCCTCTGACACTGTTCTCTACAAACATTCTGAACATGTTTAAACCCAAGGCCTCAACCACCTCCCATCTGTGATGATGGTTTGCAGCCCACACTTCACTTCCAAACTGCTCTAAGACACCATCAGCCCCCCTTGCTGCTCTCCCTGGAGATGCATCCTCCCTCTCCCCAAAGGTGGCCAGAGGAAATCTGATCGAGTCTCCCCAGTCCCCCTTAGCTCTAAACCTTTCCAATGCTAGTGGCCTATAAAAAAATAAAACTAATAGCGGAGTACTTTCTGTATCAGATACTATCTTATAAGAACTTTTTAATTTAATCATCAAAATAACCCTACGACATCTATATTATTTCCATCTTACAGATAAAAACCACAGGTATAAGGTTAGGGAAGCCACGGGATGTCACATACTCAGTAAGCCAGAGCTGGGACTCAGACTCAAGCGGACACTATATTCCTATTCCATTCCTCAGCTCTCCTTAAAGTCTACACAATTTTACCAAAAAGTGGTTGGTACCTCGAATGTGCTGCCTGCCCTCTTCACTCCCACCCTAGGACTGACTCATGTACCAGCTAACATCCAATGGTTTGCAGTTCCCTAAGATGGCCAGGCCTGTGCTTCCCTCCCTTCTAGGATCTGCCCTGGCTGGCTTCCTCCAGCACCTTCTTCCCTCTGGGGGGCTGCTTTCCAGGTCCTCCCACCTCTCTCCTTTTCAGTCTCTGCTGGCTCCTCTTCCCTCCTGCTTGCATCTCTCCACTCCTTCCTGTTCCCAGCCTGCCAGCTCCTTCCTCAGGCACCTCTGGGGGTTTGCTCTTCTGCCCCCGACAGGTGGATGTCACCCAGGGATAGCCTTGACCCTTTAGCTGAAGCCTGGGCACCAGTTTCCAAACCAGTGCCACAGGAGCAAATGTTTCTCCTGAGCTCAAGGACCAAGCCACGTTTCTACCTGCCTGTTGGACATCTCAAACTGACCACTACACCAAGGAGCTGCCCTGCTCTTCCCCAGCTCACATGGGCACATTAAGGGTACATGAGCAAAAGGCAAAGGAATGTCTTGGGCTAATTCTACATAGCACAATAATCCTCCCTCTTCCTATACAGTCTCTCTTCATCTCTAAGGAACATGACACCATACCTGGCATATCCATAACACTCACTGAACTCTTAAACAAAAAGGCTTCAAAGTCCTACCCCTCATTGTGAAACCCAGTGAAATTCAGAGCTGTTGGTATTCTGCCATCCCGCCAACACCAAGAAATAGACCTCAGTGGTTCTCTTCACTTCTTTGCCATCAAGGTTAAAGTCAGTTGTCCCCAAACTGTTATTAGCTTTTTTTTCAAGTTCTCCACCAAGACTGTAAATCCTTGAGGGGAGAACTGTGCCTTTCTTCCTAATCTCGGGGATCCGATCTGTACTGTTAACACATATTGAACAATGGGTGTTAAGGGTCATTAAACAATGACCCTTTCATAACGGTTTCAGAGCAGCAAAATTTGGACCTTCAGCAATAAACTGGGCAGCTTGAACAATTAAACTCAGGATCCCCTTTGTCATTTGACACTACCTTGAGAACTCCACAAAGCCCACCTCAGTGCCCCTCTTGTTAAGGTAGATGTCAGGTACTCAACACCTGAGGACAAATACCCAAGGCTACGAAGTTCTCCATCACAAGTGAAGAGCAACTGAAGCAAATGTTTCTCTCCATGAGAGAGTGAAGTTATCAATTTGGTCAATTTGAATTCAACAGTAACTTCTAGGAAATCACAATCTTTTCTCTATTGGGTGTATGGCTTGGAGATAGCTTGACAGGCAAAAATCACAATGTGCAACATTATCTATTTATTATCTACTCTCAAGCAGTGAAAATCCTTTCCCAAGTTTAATCTAATCATTCCCCTGAAAGACGTCCACAGGTGTCAAAGAAAATTAGGATTAACCACCCAAAAAATGTATGTATTTTAAACAGCCCAACTTTTATTTTATAAACCAATGACAGCTACTGGAAGATGCTTTAGGAAACCTTAGCTAGGCCACATGAACAATCAAGTTACAGAGAATCTAAACATGCTTCAGAACTAAAATAACAAAGTTGTATGGCCCACGGGCATACAACTTAGTGTCTACCAAAAACACACTTTTTTCAAAGGGGCCGTGGGAAAAGCAATTAACAAGATCAGGGTAAGACTTAGGATTAGACAGGAAAGTCTCAGTTGCTTGATACAAGATAAACTCATCCGTGTTCAAGTTTCTGCATCCATTTTACATGATTAGTGCACCAGTGGGGGTGGGGAAATTAGAATGATTTAATTACAATTTGGAAAGACAGCTCATGCTGGAGCCAAACAAGGTTACAGTCCAGGTTGTAAGAATCCAGGTGACATGGCAGTTGTTAAAGGTAGCACATAACTATATTTGCATACCAAGTTCACGCTTCAGGTAAGAACTCCTGTTTTCAGAATTAATGACAGGTAATCCCAGTGGCCGGCACAGAGGCAGGTCACAGAGGCACAGAAAGAGCAAGTGCGGAGCCCAGTTCCTCCCCCTTTCAGGGCCAGCAGTCTGGGGCTGGAGGTGGCAGCTAAACTCCCTACTGTTCCCCCAAAAACAAGACCTGTGAAAGCAGGGGGCTAGCACAGAAGTGTGGAGGCAGACTGCCACTACAGGTGACCCACTCAGCATGGTGCAGATCTGCTCGGGGTTCTCACGCCAGCAGAAAAGAGGGGACTTGAAATCCCACAACTGAACAAAGTGATTGCCATCCTGACTAGGAAATCTAAGAAACTGGCATGCTTGCATCTGAAATGAACTGCTCCATCTGGAAGGAAAGCACTCCCTTTTTGCAAGTGGTGTCCTGAAGTTCCAAGCCAAGCAAGTTCATGTGTACAATGTTGTGTTTTAAATGTAGCAGAAAAGGAACTAAACCATTGAAAAGGGAAATCTACTAGGAAGATTTTGGTAATTTGAAGTAGATACCACTCCCCACCCCAATCTGTAAATTGTAATACTGAGTTTTTATTGAAGTAAAGCACACTAAATCAAACCAATTACAGATACATGTGTCACACCAAGGAAACATTTTCAAGTTATGCTGACAACCCAAAATGCTTTCAATTGTTCAAAGACAGTTTTAATGCCATGGGAAAAATGCTCACGACGTTAAAATGAAAAAAGCAAGATACAGTACCATATATGCAGTATGATCTCAACTAGGAAATAATTTTAATATTATACATTGAAAAAAAGACGGGAAGAAAATGCACCAAACATGTAACTGCAGTTATCTCTGTATAGTGGGATAACAAAAGGTTCAATGTTTTGCTTTGAGGAAATTTTCAAATTTTCCCAGAAATTAGTATGTATAAGTCAGAAAACGAGTGAAAAAAAATTAAAGGCCAAATGTTAAAACTGCTTCTTGACTACCAACTGATTATGAGGCCTGGATACATAGCCTCCTCTTACACCTCAATGAAAAAAATGTCCATCAAAATTTTATTGCAAATTCAAGACAATTTTGTATCTTGAGTTCAGTCTTACCCCAGAAGCTAACATCTAGTCTTAATATACAGAAAATGCCAACTTTTCATCAAAAAATTTAATGCTATCTTAATTGCCTTAATTGTTCTGTTCTCAGAGGCTGGTTGGGACAAAGGGCATTAATTATAAAATTCCAGCCGGTCAGAGGAACTTTAAGTAAAGAAGATTCTTTGAAACAATGAATTTTAAGCAATTAAGAAATAAGATTGCTTTGGTGCATTAATCTCTTACATCTTAATATCCAAGTAAGTTTTTAAACATTGCTGTCAACAGTTCTGGTGGTTTTTCAGAAAGATGCAGACTGCCACATTCAACAAGCAGGGTAGATCCAATGTGCTAAGACTGTGGGCAGGAGGAGAAAATGGATCTTGAAAGTGGATAGATCTGAA